CAACAGTTTTTACATCTGTCAGGTTCAGTTTTATTTACTTGAATACAAGCATTAATAACAGATTACTGGGAAACTGTAGAGAGATGATGAATTAGTTATGTTCTTATTATCCAGCACTGGAAAGGGACCAAGAGAGGAGGGTTCACCACATTTTCTGCTAAGAAATAACCTATTATCAGCCACAACAATCATCTACAAAGCTTGATAAATGCAGCTTGGGAAAGGCAATGATTCAGATCATTGTTTCAGAGCTGATATTTAACATACCAGATCTTGCAATAAGTTTTGATTTCCTAGAACTGTTTGGTAAGAAACTTATTTGGTTGTCAACAGCTACAATAACTTGAGATACAAGTAGAAGACATACTTAATGTGCTCTAAAGCCTACTACTTTTCATATTCTTCTACAAGTTTCCAGATGTTCCAAATACAATTTTTCATGCTCTCTTACATTCTTGTAGAAGTAATTGTCTATGCTGGAACCTTACAAACAAAGGAAAGTTTTGAGGAATTTTTATTGTACACCTTAAGGTGAATTAAATACACTTTCGTGCACAGAAAACACACAAGATGTGAGAGTCCTCACCTTATAAGACTATCAGGTAATGGAATCACCTGAGGATACCTGAACAAAACAAATCTGGCTCCAGCACAGGTGGAAAAAAAAGACATGTAGCACAATGGCATCATTCTAGCTATTAAAAAAATATATAAATATATATATAGATATGTGTGTGCATATATACTTTAAAAGACTGGCAGTCATGATTATGATAAATAATAGCCTCTGAATTTTATAGTTAATTATACTCAAGACCCAAACTGTAGTTTTCTCACACACACATATAGGAAATATATATGTATAATGCTTCTCATTATGTAGAGCTATATATACTTCAAAATCCATGTATTAATGCAAGGAAGCTCTCAGGTAAGAAATATGAAAAACTGTGGGAAAATATTTTGAATAAATGCTGTTTAAAGATTCTTTAAGTCTCAACCAATTAAGCATCAATTTCCAGAGAGCACAAGCAGCTTTGTAAGCTTGTCACAGACAAGAGAAGTGTCCTCATTTATTCATGTCATTGACTAGTTTCACCCCAGGGACAGCTGCAGTAAGGAACCCCCATGTTCACCATCAAGTGTCATTGCTATGTAGCCCAATTCCTCATATGTTCAGAACAAAAAAGAAAGATTTTGACCCAATAAGTAAAAAGGCATGAGAAACTGATCAAAACCATGAGAGCTGAGGCTTTTTCCTCTGCATCTGCACTGCTCATCCTAATAGTAAAAGTAATGGTCATTGGTTAAGCCTACACAGACAGTAATAAGGCAGATCAAACCCAACCATGAACATCTGACACAAGGTTTTAAAAGCCTAAGTCTAAATCATGTGAAAGATCAAAACGTTACTAATTGCATTCTGCACATAGACGGAACAGGATCATGAGAAAAGACAGTTTCCTTCTTTAAACTTCATCTTTTAGTTCAGCCCTCCAATCCAGCTATCCCCCACAGCACTGCTGGGATCTGCAGGATCACACCTATCCCAGAGAGCTCCTGCTGGGATTGCAGCACAGGTCTCTCTCCCTGACCTGCTCACTGCCTGCTCAGCAGCAGGGCACACAGTCTCGGAGAAGGAAGGGCACGACCAGCTTGAAGCGCTGCCACTGTCACCACTCTCCCGGTATCAGAGCTGAGCTTTGCTCACATCAGCCAGCCACCAGAAACCCACCGTGCTCCAGAGCTCTGCCCCTCTTGCCCAAGGAGCAAGGAATGCCAGAAAAGTTTCCTCAAAGAAATTTATCTGTGAGGCAAAATCTGCCGCTCACTCACAGGTCATCTGTCCATGTTGGAGCTGGGCAGTGCTGAACAGGAATGAAAACTTGCTCAAATCCACTTCAGATCTGTGCAAAGGAGCCAAGCAGACACCCTTAGCAATTAGCTCAGGTTCTCTAGAGCTGAGATCCTAATCCAAAAATGGGAAGCTTATTCAAAGCCTTTAATCTGAAAGCTTCTCTTTATATGAAGATGAGACAGCTTTAAAAACAGATTCAAGAAAATAGATGTTATATCTGTTTTGGTACTCGATATCTGAGGCTCCCTGTAGGTCTGTTACACAGCAACAGTCCCCACAAGGAAGATCTAAATTCAGGCCTAAGCTCTCACTCAGTTGCTGACCTTCTATCAAAGAAATCTTTAAGAAAGATTAATTCTGTATAGATACAATTGTTGCTAAAACAATTTTTCTTTCAGAGACAAGCAATTTGGGGGGAAACTCAGGAAATTGAGCAGATATATAAATAGCATCTTTAAACTTATAAAGACACTCAGGAAAAATTTATTGGCTAAATACATTCAGTGCCCTACACAATTAAATTCTTAGTCATGTTTACTAAACCTATTGCTATCAGTGCAACTGAAAACACCCCTGCTTTTTTCAGCATAGCAGTGATATGTCAAATCCAACAAGCCAAATTAGTCCTGCAACAACAGCTAAAGAATTATTTTTCTACCACTAGAGTGGCTTAAGAAATACTTGTCCAGGTGCTCACATTTCCTCATCAGCCTTACACAAAAATCACCTGATATGGAAGTGTTCATAACTACAGGTCACAGACTAAATACTATTGCATCTTCTTAAACAAACAGATCAAACATGACACATTTTTTTTGCAAGTGTTTTCACATACCCACTGTCACTTAACAACAGGCATTCCTAGAGTCAAGCAAAGAAAGGGGAAACTTGAAGCATCTTTTAGAAACTCAAGACAATTAGAAAAGACTATGCACACTGTCCTCATTATTTTACTTCATGACATTCATGTTGTTCTGAATGCAAAGAACATATAACTGGGTTTGCTTCCTAATCTAAAGCAGAACAGCATGGTTTTGGATTAGTGGAGTCTGGTTCTTTTAAAGGCATTCTTAACGTAAAGACCTACACACAACAATTTGGAATCAGGAGTGCATAAACAGAGGCTCAACTGTTGCTACACTAAATCAAGTTCCTCTTATGTCATATTGTCTTCACAGATCCAGTATGCATTATGTCTGTAAAATACCTCAGGAACAACTTCAGTTCTAATGATAGGAATAAGACTAATTCCCCTTGCTATGCTCAAGCATCTTTTTCCCTAGCAAGTAGATATCTTTTAACTCTTCTGTGTCTTGGAGGGAAGAGGAAGAAGGTGATGGGAAAGGAAAAAAAAAAAATTAAGAAGAATCTTCAGGGACATGCTGCCAAGAAGCTGAGAATCTCAAAGGCTACATTAATCAAGGAAAATCTATGCTTGCAACACTTCACAACTTTCGCACTGAAAAAAACTCAAGAGAACGAAGAAACACTCTTCCCTGGAATCTTGAAGGCTGTTAAAGCATCTTTGGTTTATCTGAATATTGTTCCTTGTAGATTTTTTTGTTCTTTCTCCTTATGTCACATTCACTCCCAGAAGAAAATAGTCTCTGAAAAAGTAACATGGTGGTCAACTGTCAAAATGGAATATAATCGAGCACAAACAGTAGGTAAGGATTGTTAGTCTTAAGTGCTCAATAAAAATCATTAAGATCTATTTGAATGAAATGCTTTTAGCATAAGTTTTAGCTAACAAAATTTTAGACCTTCCTCCCTGCAAAGAAAGAAGTACTATGCAATATCTTATTATAAATTTTAAAATGTGTAAGTAATGAAAATCACCATTTGCATTTTCTTCTGAAAATTACCATTTTCCTCTATTTTTCCATATATCTTCGTAAAAGTTCCTGGTGGTTCTTCCAAAAGTAGATCAATTGCCCAAATGTTCACTTCTTTGCAGACAGCAGCTGCTTCATTTCAATTGTGCAGAAATTTAACACACAAAGTTACTAACTGAACTCTGAAAGTAGCTTCTGAAATTTGCAATCATTATTTTTGTTTGAATATCCTAAATCACCTTACTTTGGCTAAATTATATAAGCACTTAAGCTTTTTAAAACATTCACAGAGCAGAAACAGCAGAGGCTGTTTACCAAGTCACTGAATCTCTTCTACAGACCTCTGTTAGAAGCTACTTTTGGGAAATAATCAACCTTGAAGTGGTAGAAATATTTTTGCAAAGCCTGGGGCATTCCAGTGATTTAACCCTCATGACCTCACCCCAGCTTGGTGAAGTCGCCAGAAGGAAAAAACTTTAAAAGGCTAAGAAGTCATTACGAGTTTAATCCTCAGAAAGCAGAAAACAAGAGTGTGACCTAGGGAGCCAGGGCTGGAAGGAGTGAGCAAGGTTTCCTTAGCAAAGCTATTTACTCTCAGAGCTGGAGAAGGAAGCAGGAGTATTTTCCTGGAACCATGGAATCCGTGCCTTATGTCAGGATTTTCCCCTGTCAGAACACACAGGGCAGCCAACAGCCAACCCCTGAGCCAGGAGATGCAGCAACTGAGAGAGACAGACCATTCTGTATGCAAGCAAAGCCGGTTATTGTACTAATGACCAGATTTTATAGTTCTCTAACTTCCACACAAAATTTTCCACTCAGATCCCCTTGCCTCTATTCCCTTAGCAACACAACCTTTTCAGTTATGAAGTCCTTGTTATCATCCTCTTGTGCCAGTACTGTCCTTGCTAACATCCTCCTGCACCAGAGCTGTCAAACATGATGTCTTCACTTCTTATTCATGCCTTGAGTTTCCCTCTCCACAGCTTCCACTGAACCAGGGCCAGCAGGTCTGTGGTGCTACCCAACTCAGCTTCTGTAGCTGTCTGATCTTCTACATGTCCCCCTTTCTGTTCTACAATCATGATTTATTTTACTGATTTATTAATCAATCTCTGAATACATTGAATCAAGCAAGGCAGGTATACCACTATAATTAATAGCATCCCTAATACAAACATTCCCATCTTAATAAAATTTTTGACCCATCCAGTGATCACCCAGTCTTCAAAAAGGTTGTTAAACCAGTCAGCTCCATCTACTATTTTTAATTTGGCTACATTGTCTTGTAAAGCTTTAATACTTACATGAATAGAGTGTGAATGATCAGAAAGGTTCATACAGAAACATATTACATTCCATCAAAATCTTCACATCAATGTCCATGTACTAAAAGAAAAAAATCAGTAGTGGCTCAATTCTGCAATGTAGCATGTCTAATTGAACAAACATTGGTCAACAATCTTTCTAAAGCAAGGAAAGTAGCATTAGTTTGTCTAACTAACAGCCTAGTTTGTTAAACAATCCCTTTCCAGGGATTGTGCCTTTCCAGACACTACTCCTAGAGCAAAATAGAAGGAAGCCCAATGCTGTTGTAGTGACCAAAAGTCAAGGTTATCGTCATAATCAGGTGTAAACACTGAATGCTGTGCTTCCCTCACTGTGGAAAGTTATGTTGTAAAATCATGGATGCGTTGGGTGTTAACAGCAAGAGTCACCTAAACTGCAGGGGCCTGCCTTAAGATTGGCTTGAAGAAACATCCCATGCTTCAGATTGGTTGGCCACAGATTACCATTTTTACAGATCCTAGAAGTTCTAATTCCTGTGGCTCAAGGGCTGCATGAGGGAGATATGGGAACCATTGGTCCCAAGCATTGGCATGATTCTCAAAATGAAGAACATGAGCCAAAAGGGGATGTGGCCATGTATAAATGTAGTAAAGGTAAACCAAAGAGACAAGTAGAAAATGGGTTTCAAGAGAGGCCATAGCCAAGCATAAAGTATCTTGTCCTGTTAAATTGGCTAAAGATATCCATACATTTGTTTTTGGCTGAATAACAGGCCGAGTACAAGTAAGAGGAATACTAAAAGCACTAATACTAAATATGCCTTGGCTAGCCTAAGCTGAATATTACCTTGAGGCAATGGTGATAGAGGACTATCATTGTGGGAGGAGTTAGAACTGACACTACAAAACTTATTAACAATGGCAAGCCATTGCTCGCTTGATAACTCCTGATGTTCGGGCAAACCACATCGATGCCCACACGCCAGCTGTTTAATTTGTATATTATTCTGACTGCTCCTTAAAGGGTCACAATGCCAACAGTCAGCTCTTCTTCTATGAGATGCACAATACCAAAGGCACCCACACCTTTGACACTCACACAGAGTACACACTCGATGATGCCCTGTGTGACAGGGAAAGGAAATGAACAGACCTGCAGAAAGCTCACGTTCAGATGGTATTGCATCACTTGTGTCAAAAGGAGACAGACACCTCAGCTTTAAGTTAGGGGCCTCCCTCCCCCCACCTCACCATACATAACTTGTAGTATATGACACTTCTGTGCAAATTCCCAAATTGAATTTTTCCCCTTGTTCACAGATTCAAGACTAATGCAGTTTTATGGTAGACATTTCAAGAACCAGACAAACTATTGATTTATGGTAATCAACCATTGACTACTTCTATAATATCATCTGCAGAAAAGAACTTATTAAACAATTCAACTGATGAAATCAACAAATGCGAGAGACATGCAAGAGAAGCAGAGATTTGGCTTCACTGACTGTGTTCAAGCATAACTCTTAAGGTAGTATTTACCAATGTCATACATCATCCATATGAATGATCACAAACTCTGTGTGATTTCATATAAACATCTACTTTCAGCACCACATCTAAAAAACAAATCTATTCGAAAATCATAGAAACAGAGTTTTAGTAGGAAGAGACCTTTGAAAGTCATCTACTCCAACTAACCTGCAGTGAGTAGAAATATCCTCAACTAAATCAGGTTGCTCAGAGCCCCATCCAAGCTGAGCCAGAATGCTTCCAGGGATGGAACATCTACACCTCTGGGAATCTGTGCCAGTGTTTTACTACCCCCATCATAAAAAAAATGTCTTCCTTAAATCCAGTCTGACCCCACTTTACCTTAGTCTAAAACAATTATCCCTTGTCCTATCACAACAGGTCCTGTGAAATAGTTTGTCCCTGTTCTCTCTTATAAGCTCCTTTTAAGTAGTGAAAGGCCACAAGAACATCTCCCTGAAGCCTTTTCATCTCCAGGCTGAACCACCCCAGCACTCTCAGCCTTTCATCACAGGACAGATATCCCACCCCTCTGATCATTTTTGTGGCTCTCTCTGGACCCACTCCAGCAGGTGTTTTAATACTGACAGAAAATTTACTTGGAAATCTTATGCATAGGGATAAGATAGCAAACTGGAAGAAGAGCTGTTGGTTGTTTTAAATCATACAGGACTTGCTATTTTATTATTACTGCAGTATTGCCCTCCAGAACACACACCCTCAGAGACAGCCACATGTGTTCCCAGCCTTGGCAATTGATGCAAGATCCCTTGAAACCAAGATTCTTTCAATCCACAGTTGTCCTCACATTACACTTCAACACATATTATACATAAACACTAAGATAAGATAGATGAGATCCAACCCAAACCACTCAACTTCCAACAGCCGATTTGCTTGCTGTCCTAAATAACCTTCTGGGATTTTGTTTTTGCACCAGAGAAGAAAATCCAACAACTGGGAAATCGTTTTGCTTGAGAAATTTCCAAAACACTGAAGTCACTGCAATAACTGCTTGCAAGAACTGCCATGAGGAGTGCCATTCTGCAGAGGTGTGTAGCTCCAGACTTGATACCTTTTACTTCTGTGCCTTGGGGTCACTTCCATTCAGGAGGAATTACTGTCACTTCTATTTCAGGTGGATTTCAAGAAGATTAAACCCTATTGACAACCATCCTGCTTTTCATCTGAATTTGCACAATAATCCTCATTCTTCATAGGGAAAAAAAAAAAAAAAAAGAATCCGTTATTCTATACACAGAGGATCAGGAACACATCATGAATAGTCCTCAAAATTAGACAATGTTCTATTCACTGCTCCTTTAAATATTGACATACTTAAATAGATGTAGAAACCAGATTAACAAAGGTAAGTTCACCTAGAGAGAGTCTGTATTAATGAAGAGCTAATACCATAAATCTGGTGCTCATGGTAGTGCGAACAAAATGTCAAGCTTAAGAGAATAACTTCTCCTCCCTAAAGGTGGATTGCACAGGTGGAAACATGCACAGCAGCTTTCTAAAACCCATGGCATTTTCAAAAACCTTTATGCAGTAAACTACTCTGCTCCTTGGGAATGTTTTACAAGACAAACTGTGTGGGAAACAGTAAAGGTAAGGAGAGTCTCAGAAGCTGTGAAAACAGGCCTCAGAAAAGAAAAAGCAGAGAACTTAGAGCTAGCTGCAGCTGCAAAGCCTGACAGTAAAGAAGATGCAATAATACAATATGCAAGGACATGAAACAATAGTTGAGTTTTTAGGCTTGGCTAAGATAGACCTTAAGACTGCAAAAAAAATATGCTTATCAAGATAGTAAAAAGTTTTAGGCTTAATAACGGAGTATTAATAGATATGTGTATTGTATTAATAGATAATGTGTATTGTTAATAGAAAGCAAACAAGCAAGCATTGTTTGAAGAAGGTGTATGTATACTTTTAGTGATTGGATAGAACAATTGTCTGTAAGCTTTAGCAATATGCTATTGGCTGAAAAATGTTTAAAATGTTCTGTAACAAAGAGATCTTTGGCTGCTCATGGAGCTGTGAGCTTGTGCCATCTCCCGAGTCTGTAGCTGAGACTGGGGCCCAAAATAAAAGCTAGTGACACATCACTCAGCAGTCCCATCCCATTTGTGAAAATCTCCAACAAAACTGAAGTATCAGAGCTATAAAAACACACAGAATTCTCTACAAGTTGAAAGAAAACAGCTTTTACATTGCACTTCCGCACTTTTTCACAAACCAAGAAAGCTACATTACAAACCATTGTGTAAGCAAAAACAGCTCCCCAGGCTTTAGATAATATCAAAATCTATTAATGCAGGGGAATAATGTATTATTCCATACACAGAAATTTGTTTTTATTTAGGGGCAAAATAAACAGCTGAGGCCATTATGAGCAGAAAAGCAGAGTCTTCTCTAAAGCAAGTTCATTTTGTCTGGGTTTTAATAACACCAGATGTTTTCTAATACTGTACAAACAGAAGCTGTTGAAATTTATTGCTGTGAAAATCAGATACCTTTCTAGAATACTTATTAATATGCAAAGAGAAGATTCAACATGTGTCTAAACATCAAATTAGAGTCAAACTTCTATTGGAAAATTGAAATATGTCAATTACATTGAATTCTAGCATTAAACTGGAGCTGAACACACAAAAAAAATACTGCTACTCTAAGACATTTTATTAAGAAACAAAAAAGAGTCCGAGTAAAAATCTGTATTTCACAGTAAATGCCTATATATATTCTTAGAATTTAACACTGAGGAAAAATAACTCAGAGTTTTACTGATAAAGACTTTCATGTAAAACTGAGTTAAGACTTGTGACTTCCAGGAAGGACGAAGAAAATCTAGAGCTAGACAGGAGACAATCTGTCCCAGTGAAAGGCTTATCAGGCATTCATTTATTTTCTTACAACCTTAAGTATGAGAGGTGGGCAGAAGACCAGAGTGAAGCCTTGTCCTCCATGTCTAAGCGATATTTAATTTCCATCCCTTGGGAAAGCTTCTGCAGGGATCAGTTCCCAGAAAGATTTCCCAAAAACTTCTGGAAGATTGGCAAAAAAAACAGCTACAACCACCACTCAACTCCATAAAAAGTACTCAGGAAAAAAAGCACCCTCTAAAAACTCATCATTTCACCATTTCTTTTGAGATAATAGGTATCACATTGTATCTTCAAAAGTATCAGATTGTGTCTCTGTGTCTGTGTGCATAACACGTTCCTCTCTAAAACACAGGTCTGAACACTCACCAGTTAAGAGTCCAAAATGGTTTCTGCACAGCACCGAAGCAGCTGCTACTTAGGGTAGCCTGCACATAAAGGGTACGGACATGGCTGAGATACATTTTTAGCCAACCCCCTAAAAGTGAGCAACTCTGATGAGGAAATTTAAATTTTGTCAAATCAGTTAAATAAACACTCAAAGGCCAGGTAAGTGGGTACAAATTTCATGTCCTTTCTAGCATGGGAAGTTCCAACTTAAGCCAGGGTAATCAGAGCCAGCAAAGTTTGTGTTGATGTACTGAAATACAAAAAGGTCACCTTTAGTGAATTAAATTAAATGCACAATGAATCAGGCAGCAAAGCTGCACAGCCACTACAACTTGTTTAACTGTCCATTGTATATAACCGTTAAGGGGGGAGGGAATCTACACACTCGGTAGTTCCACAGAGTCTTGTTCTATTCACCCTCCAAATGAAAACCTTTGTAACCTTCAGTTTCTTGTGACATCTATGGTATTTTAGACTTTTGAACTAGATTAACTGATTGTATATTTTCTAATAATTCTACCAATATACAATTCCTGGAAGTACTACAATAATTCTATTACCTGACACCATTAGACGGGTTCCCATGTTGAAATCCTCTAAAAAGTTTTCAGACTTGAGTATTATCCAGCAGCATTTCTAATTTTTCACAAATATGATCTAGACAATGCTAAATACTGAACTACAGCTTTCCTAAGAAACAGGCAACATGGGACAAGACAAAACTCTTCTCCATCACTATAAATAAGACTCCTACTTATTCTGTTGCTAAAAGCCTTCATGTCTTAAATCTCTTCACAGCTATTAAAAAACTTTCTATCTCTCTCTCTTCTTTAACTTTAATAACTTCTACAGTGAAAAATAAATAAGTGATTCCATAGGTGCCAACAAGCAAAGCACATCTTTATTTTGCTTTAAAAAGAAAGCAGCTGGGAAGGCATCTTTTGAAATAGAGCAGCACAGGCTGGTGGGCAGGGACATGACTGAAATTATACCCTTCCAGTTAGCACAAACAACTGCCTACTTCAGTCCTCAGTTTTTTATGCATCATCCAGGTTAATTTTGATTGTAACCTATTTGTCTTCTGAAGACACTGAATACATTCCCATACTACTGTAGGAGTCACTCTGTCTCAGGGAAACAGTACTTCCTGGAATTCTTGACATGCCAAGAAATCAGAGTTACTCCTATTGCTCCTTGCTGACAGATCTTATTATCAGTTCTGCCATTAACTTGGACTGAAATCCAATTCTGGCCAGCTCCTTGACAAGAGATTTAAGACAACCAAATACAAAAACTCTTCTCATACTTTTTGTATCTGGGAAGTTGAATTCTTGTTGCTGCTTTGTATTTTGTTGTTTTAACTTTTTCTAGTGGAGAGCTAAAACAAAATATTCCTCCTTGGAATTTTAATGCAGAGACTAGAGTGGAAAGGACATTTTGCATAAAGAGTCCATATCCCCCCAAACTGTATTACATTGCTTTTTTTTTAGAGGTATGCTGAACATCAGCCTAGCAAAGAAACCTGCTGACACAGTAAAAACTTTTACTGTATTTCTGTACAAACCCACTAAGAAAAATGCCTTTCACTTGCAGTTTTCAAGACCTTGAAGACTCTTCAACACAGCATAGTGCACTTTCATGAATGAACCCCCTACAGTCATCTATGAGTTCTGGAACTCCCACAATGTCCCAGTCCTACTGGGATGGTTGACTGTTCATGTATAGGAGACCAGTTCTCCTGTTTGGTGAAGATAACATAAGCTGAGATAGATGATGATAACTCCATTCCTTTATCTCTCAGATGGAAGCAAAGAATGAAAGGTAAAATTTTTCTAAATAATTTACATCCACATTTACATTCCTTTTACATTGTAAGTCAGTAGGAATAATGAAGACAATCCTCAAAATACTGGTCAAAACCAAAATTATTTTACCTCTGTCAGGAATAAAGTCAGGAAGGAGCAAGAGTCAGGAACTGAACTCATATTTGCTGAATTTAAATCAACTGCTTTCACCCCAAGCTTTCCTTTATTCTTCAGCACTACTGTGGTATTTGCAGCTCCAGGACTAATTTAAAGACTAGAAATAATCTTCATTTTCAAATAAGTGTCTGTCCCATTCAATTAGAGAAATGTATTCAAAAATTCAGGTTAGACTTAATCAAAGAAGAAATTTCCCAGCACTCGATTTAAAACCTTTCAGGGAAAAGGTTGGCAGAATTATAATGGGGGGAGGGAAATGAACCACCACCCCAAAAACCTTCCATTAACAGTACTGCTAATAGGCAAGACATACTTCATTTCTTCTAACAACTTTGTGTGTGTGTGTATATATATGTATATATATGTATTGTGTGTGTGTGTGTGTGTGAGAAATAAGAATACTCTTCTCCTCCCTAAGTATTTGCAAATAATGGAATGAAAGGAGAATCAAAACAGAAAAGTCTGAGCTGCAATGAAAGAAACCTGAGGGATTGAGGGATAAGCAGTTTTTTTAATTCTGGGGGCTTGGGGCACAGTGATGTGAAAATAAGCAACCAGTAAAAAACATAACTGAAATGTCCTCTGGGGAGAAAAGCTGCATAAATCTGTCCAAAAGAGTGAGGTACTGCTTGACTGCAGAGAAAAAACAGTACACAAGAGGATTCAGAGGTAAAGTGACACAAGGAATGCTTCCACCTGGCAGAGATATTGACTGATATCCATGATCTAACTACACAGAATAACATGTGGGGGAAAAAATACAGCTACTAGCAACAGACAAGTAGTTTCAAAATGCTTTAAGAACAAAAGACAGAATTTGGCAAGATAAAGACTAGGACTGATCAAGTACACAGTCCCTAAAATTGCTCAGGGAGATTGTTACAATATGGCAAAAGGATTGTACAGTCTGAATTTGTATAATGGAGTCAGAACTCTCAACAAATGCTACTTGAAAGAAACAA